CAGATTTGTGGATTTGGAGGCGCAGAACTGGTTCAGATATTGTTCGCCACCAATGTCCAACTCAGGTCGCTGGTCTCAGTGCCTGTGCTAACGCTAGTGCCACCACTCTACCCCAATTTGTTCATAATGTATCTGGTAATATACAAGCTAACTCAACGAATTGTATGAGGTGTATACTGTATTCTATTTGAGTTTTGATCATTATTGTGATATACAGCATGCATTCACTATTAAAATCAACATCGTAAATGCAATATACATACTACAATATAAATTTAGATTTTTTTTCTTTCCCAAACACAAAGCAACTGGCTCAAGCCCTAGGCACTCTTAAATATGGAAAAATGCACATACAACACAATGATATTAAACATTGGGAACTTAATTCAACCATGAAATAGTAAACATCACAATGAGGTACATGTTATGTTTTCAGTTTTTGCTTGATATTTGAGAAATGCAAGGGATTTTGCTATTTTTATTAAAACTTTTGTTGCATATTAGAGTGGCTACCTGGGACGAATATTTTTTGCGCTTGAATGGTTTTTGATTGAGTGTAACATGTATGGAAACTATTGAACCAATAAGGTTCAATGATGCCTGCCACAAACATCTGACATCCCAGCCCGCATGAGCAGTTTTATTCAAATATGCCCCCTTACCACACATCGGCTGTCACTTTCACCTGACGGAGAATAACCCAAAAAAACACATCACGTGTTGTGCTACCAGAGTTCACGCGTAGATTAAAGTAGTGAGTCTCATCTCGGCTCGCAGTTTGCAGCTGTCTCATCCATCAGGACAAAATGTAGAACACCAAATGAGTATCTGTAACTTTGGAGATCTCTGCATCACATATGACCATCATACCACTTAACAAAAATATTTTTAAACATGGGCATGGTGACTGACTAAATAACAATTATTCTACAGTGCATACAGGAAAGCACAAATTAGTGTTTAAGATGCAATGACTGTTAATTATTGGCAGAAGGGTAGTTTCCACTGGCTTTTTAAAAGAAAAAAAACGGAGAAATTGGCAAACAAAATAGCAGTGTGCTGCACACGTTTCTGCCAAATACTGGTGGAACCAACCGTTCTGCCAACATTTGATTCAGACCTCTATGAAAATGTGTGAGATATTATTCTTAAAATGTTCATGCCACCATATACAGAGCATAAGAGCTCTCTGTGAATATTTAAATATTGTTTAAAGCCTCATTGGATTGATTTAGTTGGGAGCAAAAAAATGCTTCCCCTGGCTGCAATATAAACACAGTTGTGTTAGAGGGACAGGTTTGGCCGTAAATATTATTGGGACATAAACAGTCACGGTAAATCCACTGCTGGATAAAGGTCATCGCAAGCTACTGATATCTCTCATGATCCTGAAATGTAATCATCTCCAGGACCTAACACCTGCACATGAGCCCATTTCATCACTCTATCTCCTCGTTGGACGTATTCCTGGATGTGTTTAATTAAATATTACTAATATATCATAGCGTGCATATGAAGTTTCATTTAGCTCAGAGCAATTTTTTATGTAATTTTCCGTGATGAAGTTTGTAGTATACAGCAACAAAGTGTATCTATGCTCAATGGGAGCAGGCTCTTTATTAAAGAGCAACGTTAAAACTAATAAGCATGTAATGTTACAAAATATATGGTCTATGTTCATTTTTATATTTTACTTGCACATCATTTAGTGGCTTCTATTGTGTAAATGATGCGTGAGCATTCAAAACAAAATCACATGCTTTCAGCCATATATTATACCATAGATGCATACAGATAATGGATATCATGTTGTAAACATATGAAATTGATTATTAACAGGCTCATACTTCATATTCTTGGTTCTTTCGGTAAAGTCACGTAGAAGGGAATCAATAAAATAATAAAAATATACAACAATAAAATTCTCACGACATTTCGACTTGCTGTGTTTTTCACACCTGATGATGATTGCTTGTGCTACAGTCGAAACGTCGTGAGAATTTTTTTTTATGTTATTGTTTCCCTTCTACGTGACTTTACCGAAAAGAACCAAGAATATGAATCCCTGCAGTCACGAAAGCTTTAAATCCAAAGGCTCATACTTTGTTCCCACGTTGGCAACTTTGCCTGTCACGGAAGTATGAACTCACCATTAAATGTTCATGCTCGTTATTTATTCGCTTTCTCTCATTGCAACGGCTTCGGTCGTGTTACCTTGACTCTCGCTCACATCCCTACCGACGGGCATGTTTTGGTTGTGAAAATAAACGACAAAAACACACTCGTGAGATACGTGCTCTAATCTTCTGATAATTAAATTTCGGGAGTAGAAAGAAAAAAAGAGATGAGCCCTTTCAACTAAAGTCGGAACAGATGGCTGACACCTGTTGAATTCACTTTGTATATTTAGGGTTGAGCTTTAAAGCCATCTACATTAGTCATATGCCCAACATGCCAGAGGAAACTCTTGAGGCAATAAAATGTTCAGAACCTTGTAAACAATATAAAATTGCACGTGAGATGCCCAATAAAAGTAATAACACATCTTTACTCCCGTCACATATTTCAGCTAGAGTTTTAGAATATGATATTAAATGCGCCACAGAAATTTAAGAACGAAATTATTACTGTACTTTGTTTGGCAGTTATTAAAATAAGAGCAGATGAGAATATTGTGACCAAGCACGGACATTATAATTCAAAAATGGAATTTAAACATAAATCCTTGTAAGGTTATATTTCACGAGTTTAAACCATGGGCATTGACTCCCCAGTATACTCTGTATCTATACGACATGGATGTGTGAATGAGGCAAACTAACCTTGATTAGTTTACGAGGACAAACGGCTCAATATAGACAGCATCTCTAAATATAGTGAGTGGTACGATATCTGCACATTCATAAAAAAATCGAGTTTATAAAATAATTATGAAACATCCCTTTGTCAATCCACTACTGGATGAAAGGCCTCCTCATGCCAAGTCTTTCTTGGGGGTTGTTTGACCATATAATGCAGTGCGCTAACTGCTGTCCCACCGCTCCCCCCTAATGAAATATATATATATACACACTATCTTAATGTGAGAGATTGTAATTAAGGCTTGTTGTGTAATGGTAAGGTTAATCTTTTTGAACTATATGCTTAGACTGTAGCATGATTTCATTATACGTATCATTTCTGATGTGTTTCATGGGAAAATGTGTCCGTGTTTGATATGAGAAAGTATTCAAAACTTACGAAGCATTTGTTCAAGTGTGCAAACTGAGGATCGGTAAGACAACACCATTTTAATACACTCCCAATAATACACTGAACACAACTCAAGATATAACACTGAACTTTATTAAGTGCAAACCAGTTTTTCTAAAGTGTGCAATACTTATGACATCATTTTTCAAATACATGAAATGCTACGCACCTCGCAATACATTGACATAACGATGAGTGATACAGTGGCACACTTTACCTTGATTTTAAAGTCTTCTTTCTCATTAGAACACGTACAACTTGTCAGATGGCCTCGGTATGTTTCCAGAAGAGTTCGTTACCATTTCATTTAAAGTGCTATGGTTAAAAAAATGTCAATTTAACCTTTAGGAATTGTGTTTATGGTTGTGGCATAGCAAGTTATGGGGGTTTTCTATTTATTTCAAATACAAAATACTCATGTGCATCTAACTACCTAAAGCCACTTACATTGTGGTCACATTCAAAACACATATTCACTGGTAAGCTAGCAAGGTCTTCATTTGAAGAACAAGTGATACAAAGGCACAGATCACATCCTATACAATACAACAACATGACACACAACTTCCACACAATATATTATATAACAAGACAGTACCTGCATTTAGGAAAAGAGGCGCGTGAAAACCCATATTTAATACTTAAATATCCTGCGTGTATTCTATTCAAAATGGAACCTTATGTTACCGTAACGATAACATGTTAAGATACGAATTGATAATATTCATACTCCGCTACCAGATAATGGTACCTTGTGGCAGGCTAACATCTACAAGATATGACAACGAAGACATCACTTGTGTAATAGCTAAGCAGCGTGATTCATCTTCTTGGTTCTTTCGCTAAAGTCACGTAGAAGGGAAGTAATAAAATAATAAAAATAAAACATAATAAAATTATTCTCACGACGTTTCGGCCAGAGTCTGAATCTGTCGCCTCGACGGACCTGGTTTTCACCTGAGGATGGCTGCTTGCGTTGTGGCCGAAACGTCGTGAGAATAATTTTATTATGTTTTATTTTTATTATTTTATTACTTCCCTTCTACGTGACTTTACCGAAAGAACCAAGAAGATGAATCCCTGCAGTCACGAAAGCTTTAAATCAAAATTTAGCGTGATTCATATTTGTTTTATTTTGAGTTCGAACGTGAAGGTATAATTTTTATTTTGGGTTATAACCCTCCACCACCCAACAAAGCCAAACAAATCTAGTTGTTACGTGGGCTAATGTGCCACTTGATTTAGTCTTTCAGCAAACTGGTATGTTGAAAAGCAAGCAGAATGTTGACAAGAGCGTTTCCTGATCTGAGTCCTTGTGACAACTTAAGTTGTTTGGTCTTGTCGGGCAGTGGAGGTTTATAACTCAGATTGACATTTCATCAACAGGATGATCTAACCTCTGATTAGCACGGTTGGCTATGTACGGTGTGAAAGAAAGTCAACATACTGACATACATAACCCAAAAGAAACCGATTATGAATCAGAATATTGGCTGTGAAAGTCTCCGTGTGGCATTAGTCAAACGCATGTTCATACAAGTTGAGCAACAGGAGGAATGTTCTTGGTGTGCACGGTGAATCTGTGCTCGTAGGTGACATCCCGTGTAAAGCCGTGAAGCATTGACGTTGTTTGCCACACCATCCCGGGACTGTGCCAGCATTTTTGGATGTGTGGCGTGTGGAGTGAGTGAGCAGGAGCAGGGTAGGCCGTGGGAACACACAGCTGGGAAAACGGGGGGGGGGGGGGGGTGGAGGTCAAATCAACCACGGACGCGGTGCCCCTAATTCCACTTTATCCAGGACAGCCGTGCCGTCAGATCTGAGAAAACAAGTGCGTCGTCGGTGTGTCACTGCAGTGAGCATTCCAAGCAATGCGTACGGGAACTAACATTTTGAACGTGCATTTATGGGAAATAGGTTAAGTGGTACTGAAAATAGTGCAGTATAATGTGAACACTTCTGAAAGCACAGGAATTCTTGGTTAATGACCTTTTTTGATTGACCATCTCCACATTTATTTTTATTTGAAATATATAATTGAGCTAATAGAATGACTCGTATCCACGTAAACCTTGAAAGAGCCTTCTTACCATCATATACGTCCAGCAGTAACAAGAGAAGCTTTAGAAGATGAATGCACTTACAATAACACTACAGCATTAAATATTAATGCCACATAGCCATTGGGTAAATGAGAAGAGGCACACACAGATCTTACAAACCTAATCCTTCAATCATTGAGATTATGCAGGGAGTAAAATATAACGTATTTGACACATACTATTGTAACAAAAAAACATTCTAACAATTGTCGTATGTTATACACAGTGAACTCATCTTCAGAGTACTATACGTGTACTTTCCGCAGATAAAAATGCGTGAACTGTTAAAAGAATAAGAGAAGCATACCGCTGGTATTCCAAAGCGCATTGCTGCTGTTGGGATGGCCTTTTTTGATGCACTCGTCGACGTAGGCTTTGGGGTCGGTGTCCGAAAGGAGGATATCTCGGAGGAGGGCGATGTAGGCGATGGCCAGGCGCAGCGTGTCGATCTTGGACAGCCTCTTCTCGTAGGGAAAGGTCGGCACGTGGCAGCGCAGCTCCTCGAACGCCGAGTTGATGCTCAGCATCCGCCTGCGTTCGCGGACGTTGGCAGCCGTGCGCTGCACCTGGTAGGGCTGGTGCGTGAGCACGGGCGGGTAGAGGCTGCTTGCGGGGCAGCGGGCACCGCCGTCGCCTCCGCCGCCGCCGCCTGCGGACGGAGCGCCCTCGCGGTTGGCGTGCTCCCCGGACAACGACGCAAGATCCTCGCGAAAGGCCAGGGAGGCCACGCCAGAGATGGAGTCACCGCCGCAGTCGAAAGAATGCCATGGCTGCAAGAAGCAGCTGGCGGAGGGTTCGGTGTTAGAGCCATCGGGCTCGCACTGGGCATGATGGCTCTCGTTCTGGAGAAAGGAGAAATGTCCAATTGAGTCGGGATCAAATTCGAATGTCATTTGTTCCATTAAAGAAAATATTCTCGGCAATAGAGAGGTAGGGCCACAGATGAAACAATCGAGCGTGTGGCCGACGCCGCATGTGCGCTGTCATTAAATGTTGGTGACGAACGTGCATGACAGTTTAAATACTTTCTAAAGACTTGTGGAGCACACGGCGGGGTGCCTGACCCGTTCTTACTGTCTATACAGAGGGGTTAATTAAGATGCGCGGCTGTTGGCTTCAATTGCTTGAAACCTGTCTTAAAAAGGTGCTCTTTGATACTGCTCTACCCATTCTCAAGTTACCTTTTTAATTTGATTTATTTATCAAACAAAGCTTAGAACTACGCGTTGGCAAGACGTCGCTTTTGAGCAATGTTCACTAGCGTTATTGCTCTATTTAATTGAAATCCATTCTTTTTTACAGGAAGCTATCATTGGAGGAGAATGTGTGTGTGTAAAATGTCATACAAAATAAAACTCCACGTGATGATCATTTGCATCGTACAGTTCATGCATTTATGCAATTGACTACATGTGCAGATTAAAATTCACGTGCGTAGCTGAAACTTCTGATGAAGGCAATGTCATGTCACTCCAAACTTTAGCCTAGTTTCAAATCCAGCAGTTTGTACCTTTTATCGACAATATCTGGAACAAAAACACCAACCGTGCAATTTGTAGTGCCAATACACGGTTGCAAATATTATATTTAATTGTGCTTTTAAAAAGCACGTATAAAGTAGATCAAGATACAGCCTCCCCAATTACGTGGACCTTTTTTTTAGGTGCAAAGGCTCTACTGGGAAAGTCTGAAGTGTGAGATATGGCAAGCTGTTTCTATGAAAGCATTCCAAACAGAGTGCACACCTGATTGTCTGGCTATTACAAGGTTAGCACAAGTATCCTTGTAAAGATCCTTTCATTCTTTCTTCCCCAGCAACCGGGTCATAAGCGCACATGTTCTGTCAATGCCTCGATGGCATAAAGTTGTCACGCTGCTTGCATTTTTTATTTTGATCATTTCGGCTTCGCATGGGAAATGTAAAAGTTAATCTCATAATGTGTGAGGATAAACAATTCACTTTTAGGGTAAAAAAACCCCTTTTCAGTTTTTTACGTGAATTTAAAATGTTAATTATTTTCATAGGTAATTGTTGGTCTTCAAAGTACAGTCACAGGCCTGGATATAAGAGCATTAATGTATTGTTATGGCAGTACGTGATGCTAGACCTATATACAAACTAACAAATACAGTAACACGAGCATGGTTTGCAGTCACAGCATAGACACTCGTACACCAAGCGGGGTTATTCAAACAAACCTTACGTGCACCTCATGAGCGTGCTGCATTTCATAGGAATCAGAAACGGGAGCTAGGCTCGTATCAGATTGCTGAGGACATCACCTCTGTATTCACATCTTATGTAGGCAAGATACCTCCACTATAAACCAATGGCATAGATGAGTCATGTATTTAGGCACCTGCCATTATAGCAACTTGTTCAGGTATAGATTAAACGTTGTTCCTAATCCAATTTAGACGTATTTTTGATTCTCTATTATGCCATAGTCAGTCCACGGCTGGATGAAGGCTGCTGCCATCTCGGTGGTTTGCGGAATCGCAGGATCTGAAACACGGTAGGATCAATACCTCAGCCATGGCTGATCATTGTTTTAACGCTGTGGGCACACACAAAGTTGATTTTGCCAAGACAAGGGTACTCTGCAAGCCCACTGGCTACCTTCAGAGATTTGTTCATGAAGCCATCCAGATATATAAACACAGACACAATTTCAACCGAGAAGATGGGTAGAAACTGAGCAATCATTGGCAGGACGTTATTAACCAGTTTCGGTCATAACTGGCTGTGACGTTCCCTCCCTACCTACCTATGTTAGCAGTTATTTTCGATTTTCTGAGTTACATTCACTAACACAGCCACCGTTAGCTGTGTTAGTAAATGGCGGCTTGCCATCCTTTTCCACCTCCATATGGCGATGGCTTTTTCCCAGCTCCCTCCGAGCTTACATTTACAAGCAAATTTCCTACATTGACATGCTAATCTCTCACAATACAATGGCCACCCCCACAGCTTCGTTTGTCAAGATTTATCCGATCTTACATTTACATGCAAATTTCATCTCTAGCCCTGCCCACTGACCCTTGGGCTACACTCATCTCAAACCTTTATAACTCCCTGCCTGAGGAACGCTCCCAACATATATTATCAGCAGCTCCCCCGCTATATATTTTCACCTGATGACGATTGCTTGTATTGCGATCGAAACGTCGTGATATTGTTATTATTTTTCTTTTTTATTATTTTTATTATTTGTTCTATCTACGTGGCTTTACCGAAAGACCTAAAGAATATTATACTGGTAGGAACCACCTGGTTACACAAGCCCAGAGGGGATTATTGTGTCCGTCTGTCCGTCGTGCATACAAAAATGGGAGGGGTGGGGCTGGGTGGAGAGGGGAGGGTGGGGAGGGGCTGGGTGGGGAGGGTGGGGAGGGGCTGAGTGGGGAGGGGAGGGTGAGGAGGGGCTGGGTGGGGAGGGTTGCGGCTGGGTGGGAGGGGTGGGCTGGGTGGGGAGGGGCTGGTCACCCCGTTGTGCCCTTATAAAAGTCAACGTTTAACCTACTCACGCCGGCTTGTGCCCGCCCTCACAGTCGGGCATATTTGCGGAATACACCACGCCGCCGTTGACCCTGGCCATTGACCGAGCAACCCAACGTTCCTACCAGCTCCCTCCGCAGGAATGTGTTTTGGTGATACTGTTTCGGTAGTGATGCACAACCACTGTTTTGGTAAGCACAAGCACTAATAAGAGTAAAAAAGAACTCGACATGAAGGACAATGAATGGGCTTTCAAGAATGAAGGGCCATTGCCAAAAGAATCAGTTTCCCTACAATATTTGTGCAAAACCATTTTCCAAATAAAATGTTATTGCTCGAGTCGGTAAAACTGAACAACACATCCACAAGTCGGCTATGACATCTCAAATAAACTCTAATTATTATTACAAAGGTAAGACTATACTTCATGATGATCTGTGTTTGGCTTTTGCAAACCAAGCAAAACAAAATTTTCGAAATAGCATATGTTGTTTTCATCTAAACATAATAAGCTGCTCACTTAATGATTATGCTGCAATTAGTGCTTTGGAAATGAAACATTAAGCGTAATTACATTTATATGCAAACAATTACATAAGTGTCAGCATAAATTCTGAAAACGCGTAAACTGCAACCACATGTTTCTTTATTAACTGGCTTCAATTAAAGTTGTATCTTGAGAACTAGTGGACGCAAATATGTCCATATAGTGTGAATTAAAGGATTGCAAAACATTGCTTAAAACATTGACGTTGAACTGTTGTACACCAACATTTTTTATATATCCAGACTTATTCGAGTGAGAAACTGATGTAAATTATAATTAAGGTTCTACAAGGGTGATGTAGCTCATCTTTTTGGTGCACCCAAAATTTGGTTAATTCTTTTTTTTTTCGCATTAGCTCACAGACGTTAGCATCAGGAAGTTTTATAGGGCTTTAAGTCGAAGTATTTAAAAATCCTAAGACCAAAACTGGAGTTTGGTTCCTCTCAAAATTGCTGGATAAAATATTTTAAACGTTTTCATTTTTGGACCTTTGAGAGTTTCACCTTTAGATTTTGAATGGTGCGAAATCCAAACATAACATTTTCAATAACTCTTAAGAGTGTGCTGCTAAAGTTGTTAATAAACAAAAGGTAATCAAAGCCCACTACTGGTCGTTAGTAAACAATACAAATAAGTTTCGATTTAAAGCTTTCGTGACTGCAGGGATTCATCTTCTTGGTTCTTGCGGTAAAGTCACGTAGAAGGGAAATAATAAAATAATAAAAATAAAACATAATGAAATAAAAATTCTCACGACGTTTCGGCCACAACACAAGCAGCCGTCCTCGAAGAAACACAGCTGTTGGACGCTGTCTTTCCGACAGCTCTGTTTCTTCACCTGAGGACGGCTGCTTGTGTTGTGGCCGAAACGTCGTGAGAATTTTTATTTTATTACGTTTCATTTTTATTATTTCCCTTCTACGTGACTTTACCGAAAGAACCAAGAAGATGAATACAAATAAGGTTGGTGTGATACTATTCTTCAGCATTTATAAATGTTTACTGTATGCAATAAAACACATTTTAAGCAACATCTTTTTTATATTACCGTCAATACTTGCTTCTTCTTTTCTTGAATATGGCAATATTTTCCGAAGCTAAACGCCAACATGGAAGTCTGCTAGTCACGAGAGAGCTTCAGGAGATAATTCATGTCGTTTTGACGTTTCTCCATTGAAGGAACACAGACCGCAGTGGTTTACTCGATGGTCCATCGTTTGGAATGCATGGCAACAATCAGACTGATAATTGTTTTTTTACCCTTTTATCTGGCAACAAAACGGACACCTTTTTTTACAAGGAGTCATGTTTGCATAGACCACAATACCTGCAGTCATAATGCAAACAAAAAACATAACTCTGATAATGTATGCACTGTCCTTGAAGTTGATTGGTCCACATCCGAGACAGCTTTCTTAGAGCCTAGTCTCACATGGTGTTGGACCAGATGACGCCAAAAGGCGCACAACTCAAAGACAATGCACCATCAGAGTATGAGAGCTCGGGGTAAGCATTTACACCATTGGAATCTCATTTGTCAGAAGAAAAAATATGATAATTGATTTTTTTTACCCTTTTATCTGCCAACAAAACTGACACCTTTTTTGTAAAAACACCTATTTTTGTATAAAAAGGTGTCAGTTTTGTTGCCAGATAAAAGGGTAAAAAACTTATTATCATATTTTTTCTTCTGGCAAATGAGATTCCAATGGTGTAAACAATCAGACTGTGGCTTGTCTTTACTTTCGAATTCATGAAGATGTGTACATCAGACTGTTGATGTTCTGACGCGGTTGATGGTGAAACCAGTGTCTTTGTGGAAGCCAGGAGATGTGGTGCTGTTTCGGTGCTCATCA